CAAAAAATAAAACAGCGAAAAGAAAACATGTCAAGACAACGTAATGATTATGCAAAATGATCTTACTAAAACTTTACGCAAGCACGATTTTAGCACATGTCACTGAAAGTTCTACCAAACGATTATGGCTATACATCGATCTGTCTGATTTTTGGTGGAGAGATGGAAAAAACATAGGGAACAAATCCTGACCTTCCCAAATTTTTTAACTCTATTAATTTTCGAGTTACAGCCTTTCAAAGTTGAGTATCGTTTTTTTTTGGGGACACCCTCTATAATGGCGGGTCCACATGGACGCTCAATCGAATACCTTATTTACTTGTGGTTCCCGTGATTTCATTACCTGCGTTTATCTTTAACTAATCTTTTTATTCCCGAGCATAAAAACAAAATGAAGATAGAACATTATCTTTCATATCGATTTGTCACATATTTTTTCTTTAAAAATTTCCTTTTGCTAGATGTCATTATTTAAATTATTATGGAAATGTATTTGCATTTCTTATATTTTTCACCTTCTTCAAATACAAGTGTATTTCAATCCTCAAAAAATACTTCATTGTTTTCTCTGCAACAAATTTTATTCTTATTTGTATTTTTTTCTCGCGCATATATTTGTCCCCAGAATATATGTTTATTTTCTCGTGCATATATTTGTCCCCAGAATATATGTTTATTTTCTCGTGCATATACTTGTCCCCAGAATATATGTTTATTTTCTCGTGCATATATTTGTCCCCAGAATATATGTTTATTTTCTCGCGCATATATTTTTCCCCAGAATATATGTTTATCTTGACCCGAGAGAGGATCCCATCAATGAAGACAATTTTGCAAGCAAGAAAAATCATTGACACGAGCGGTCTGGACTATGACACGCTCGAGCCGACCGACCAAGCCAACTGTCCAAGTTGAACACCGACCTGCTGAACATTTGAACAAATTCTTTATTTGTTATAATCATGGTTGACTTAATTTTAGTCTCTCTCAATGACTGATGGTTAAAGATACAGAGCTACAACTATAATTTCAATTTCAAAATTGCTTCTGATATGAATTTAGAGATCATACAGGCGATAAACAACCAGTCATTCATCAGGGCAGCTACTCTCATGCAAAATCAGGGGGAAAAAATTGAAGGTATAATAATGTATTGAAACAGATCTTTGTGCACTGAAATTCTGGCAAGAAAATATCAAAATGGCCTTCAGAGAAACAGAAATTTAAGGTTTAGGTAAATGACAAATCGTTATTATGCCTGGTAAAATGTATAACTTTTACAAGTTTCACTTTCCCGCTTTGTTGTCTTAATATTTCTTAATAAATTACTCAAAATTGGTACCGTTTATATGTTTATCTAATTTTAACAACCAATATTTAGCTGGAGTCATTAAAACTTCACACTAAATTTAGTTCTGTTTATTTGGAACTTTAATCAAATACCGTCGAAATATATCTCGAATCTAATATGTAAATTAGAAAATATTTTGATGATTAATTGAACCTACCACGAATCTTTTCTATGGTCAAAAGAAGCGTTACCCTCCATACTATTCATACAGAAAGTTACTACAAATTATTGATAATAATTAATTAATTTCCGATCAGGATAAGTCCGTATTCATGATACAGTTCACATCATGAAACACACAACTGGGAGAACACTGAGAACTACAACTGATTTTTTGAAAAATTTTTATTACCGAGTAATTTTCTATTGTGAATTTCAGAAACAACGGCGAATTTTCACAGTTATTGTAATAATTTAAAATTTAGTTTGAATTTCATGATGAGGGGATTAGCTTACAAGATTAATACTAGAATGTACAAATCTAATAAGTTTACAAACTAAAACCTTGCGAAAGTTTGTTAAAGACGTTATTAAACTTTAGGACTTTAATATTATATAATTTATATTGTTCTAATTGAAGCCACTCGTCCATTATTTTACTTAAATTTGAATCCTAGTTTAGAAACCTATTTACAATCTTACTATATAAGGACCTTTTTTGGAGATAACTACTTTTAAGTATGCGTTATTGTGATTTATTTTGCATCATCTCAAAAAAAATATATTTCCCGTGATGGCGACATTTTTTCACAAAATTCGCTCATCCTAATTTTAAATTTAAAAACTTTGATTTTTCTCAAATTTTGTTCACAATTGTTAATAAACTAACAAATTTTATCGATGCTGGTTAACCAATTTAATCCGAACCTCTTGTCAACTGCATGGGACTTAAAGGAATTTCCAGGACATTTCATGTATTACAGCTAAGATCCTATCATCTTCCATCATAAGTTACATGAACCATCATAACTTACATGAACCATCACAAGTTACATGAACCATCATAAGTTACATGAACCATCGTAAGTTACATGAACCATCATAAGTTACATGAACCATCACAAGTTACATGAACCTATAAGTGACAAGACTGAGCACCACCGCTACCATGGAGGCAACACCATACGTCTCCTTGGTTGCGGCGCTATGGTGGTCGTTGTGGTTGTTGTGGTCTCGGTTGGGATAGTCCTGACCCTGACTATTACCATGTCCGAAGGTAGGATCAGGTTCGCAACGAGTCCCTGAAGGATTGATCTTAGATCCTGTACGGCACTGGCAGTGGCCCTGGTAGCATTCAGCGTTGAAATCATGGTCGCAGGGGTCGTTTGTTCTGTCGCATGGTGTTGACGTGATCACTGCAAATCGGACAAGAATTTAAAGACAGTTCATGTATTTATGATTTAAAAAAAAGGTACGTATTTAGCGCGCTATAATATCTACTTCAAGCATCCAATTAATGATTTTGATTGCTAAAAATTAGGCACCATGGAGAAAATGCCGTTGCCATTGTCTTTAAATTAGCATAGTTTTAATGAATACTCGCATTTGCATAAATTTTCCGTTAATGATAATAAATCTGTTCGTGATAGATCGCCAACGGATTCAGGTGAGAAAGCAGTTAAAAGCTTATTAAACTAATACACTAATTCTTCACTAGATTTATTTATACTTTCCCGTTCATGACACAAAAATATCAATAATGGAAATTGTTTATTTTACTTTTCTGTCAAATTCCGTCGGTTTTAGCATAATATTGGTAAACATTAACAATTGCAGTTGGCACTTGAATTTAAGTACTGGATGAAAATATTTGATTACCTGTTCCACGCAGCTAGGACCTCTCCTGTAAATATCCTTCAAGATCATTTAGATTTTAAATGGACAGAGAACTATCCATTAAATTTCCTTCGACATCGCCTAGACCTAAAAAATAAAAATCAAACCGTGCCAGAAATTTCCTTCAAAATCACTTAGATTTTACAAGAATATAAAACCATTCTCAAAATTCCCTTGGAAATCGTCTAGATTTTGTGAGATCAATAAGATCACCGATATCTAGAGAGCAATAATCATCGAAATGACTGACAGGTTCCCAGCCGATGAACGAATATTCTAGTAACATATTTGAACAGATCAGGCTTAATCGCCGTAGCCCAGGAGTGTTAAGCTTGTATACTCTTAAGACTTGTTCACTCCCAGAAACTTCTTTCAAAATCGCTTAGGTTTACCAAAAATGATTGTTTCCCAATGGTGGTGCCACTCACCGGACGGGACGGGACCGGGCACGGGGCCTGAACCGCGGTGGGGCTCATTGGGCCTGTTTGGTCTGTTTGGGTCGTAGTCGAAGGGGAGGTCACCCAGGGGGGGCTGGCTGCTCTGGTTGTTGAGGTTGTTGGGGTTGTTTGGGTTGAACTGGTTGTTTGGGTTGTTTGGGTTGTTGGGGTTGAATTGGTTGTTGGGGTTGTTGCTGCCACTGTTGTCAGCAAAACCGGGTTTGCATCGTTTTAGCGAGGGATGAATTCCGGTGCCGGGAGGACAACTGGAAAATACGAGTAAATTTAGAGCACAAAATTACGTCCCTCAATTCAAATACAATTTCATGTCCTATTTCCAGTTCTTGAACTTATCAATAATAATAAAAATAATTAGATGTTTGTAAGTCAATGATTATTCAATTTAACCCTTGGTTCCAGTGCATATTCCTCAATATAACAGACATTGATGCTTATAGACGATCTTTTGAAAGTAATTTTAACACTCGTCATCTGCATCTGTGAACTGGAAACTTTAGATGTATGTTTTGTATTATAACCATAAGATGGACAATAATAATTAATAACAATCATACCCGATAACCATTACAGTTCGTTGCCGATTCTGCCTGATATTTTATGCAAATTCAAGAATCCAAATTCCCAATTCATTAAGGCCCTGTTTTCAAAAGTGCAAAGTTCAAAGCAAGAGGAGAAACTTTATCTAGAAAATTTTTTTCATATTATATTTTCTAAATATTAAAAAAATATGATTATTCTTCGTTCTTGGTTTAAAACCTTGAATTTATAAATGTGGCCTTTATAAACTACAGTCCCCTCACCTACAGTCCCCTCAGTCCCCTCACCTACAGTAGCTGCCGCTACACACTCCTTCGTACAGGCTGCCGCAAGGGTCGTTCAGCGGCCCTCTGCTCGGGTCGGTGTTGCAGCGAGTGTTCTGCATTTCAGCTGCTCACGTATATAAAGTTATTGTTATAAGATAAAGTTATTGTTATAAGAAAAAGTTATTGTTATAAGATAAAGTTATTGTTATACGGTGTAAACTTGTATAATTATATCGTTATAAGGTATATACTTGTACAGTTACTGTATATTGTTATAAGGTATAAACTTATACAGTTGCAGTCGCAGTCAACACATACATGCATATCTTAGTGAACTGATTTGGAATTCGTAAGTCTTTCTCATCCTGTCCATAGAACTTAGTAATTGTACAGTCACATTCAGAACATTCGAATATTTGTGTAGCTAGGTTGTTAGGATATTAAGATAAGAATATTAAGATATACTCTCTGGACTTAAATGAAACTTGTATTCAATACATTCATACCCATCTTGGTGCAAGCATCGATATTATTGGTTCAGAAAACAGAAAAAGTTGTGAGAACAGAGCAAATCGTGTGTAACATTCTATTTCATTTCTCGGTTTCAGAATACGTTGTTTAATACGCTGGCCAGTTCCATTGAATACAGCAAATATATCAGCTATCATCAGTTGGGTGCTGAGAAGGCTAACCACGTCAATATTATACTTTAATATTGCTCATGATAATATAATTGAAGATCTTTCTTATTCAACTCACCGTCGAAGCCGGCAGCGTTGACTGCGGCTCCAGCCAGCAGCAGCATTGCGCAAGTCAGTGTCAATTTATTCATTGCTGCAAGTATTTATTGCGTCACAAAAATACCTGTTCTGCAATATAAAGATACGATTATTGATAAAACATGAGAGACATAATATTGCTATAAAAGATGTAAGTCTGTAACTTCATCTTAAAAGCAGGATATGGTGGACCTAACGCAAACATCCGACAACGTACAATAACAAGTGCAGGGAAGCCCGCGGTCGACATGTTACTAAATTCACAAGTGTTCACGTGAACATTTTGTCATGAGGCAAGAGAACTAGGTTGTTATTGGTGAATTGTTGTATTTGTATTTGATAAATATTTTGTACAAATGTTGGAGCTGCTCTCCGAAACGTTTTTATTGAAGATATGGTCAATTTCCATGGCATTTTTTAGCTTATAGACTCTTGGTAAAGCTGCGATCTAAGCAACCTAAAGATACAAGTACTATTATTAGTGACTTCATATAAGTATCAGGCGTACAGAAGACTGGGGAAGTACGACGACAAAATTCCCAACAAATCGAGGACCTCCAACATCCGTTGAATTATCTTGAGGATGAATTTAAGTTCACGAGACATTCTACTTCTATAAAGTAGAACTACTTCTAAGTTCACGAGACATTCGCTCATGATTGTGATAATCGACTGTACAAGAAGAATAGAAGGAAACTCATTTAAATTGCAAGGAAATTTTCAACAAAATTACATGCAGAATTGAAACTTCATTTCGGAGAACTCTAAATTGCCGCATTTCCGGTAAAAATCGTTATTCCGGAAATCATTGATCGGAAATTCCGGTAAGAAATCAGTGGCCGAGTTCGAGCACCTGCTACATAAGCGCGTGAAAACAATGGAATGAACTATCAAGGGCTTCAGAATATTTAATTTATTATTGTACAGAAATTATTGCAATTTAGAATTTATTGCAGCTGATAAATGAAAATTACTTTCATGACGTCATCAATTTAGGCCATGACAAAGCCATGATGGTGAGTGCAGACATGATGGTGAGTGCAGACATGATGGTGAGTGCAGGCATGATGGTGAGTGCAGACATGATGGTGAGTGCAGACATGAAAACTCGCGACGAAACCAGCGACAGCGAGACAACAAGACCGCCATTGTGCTGCTGCCAAGTTATTAGGCGACCGTATATTGTAGAGCTGCCAAGCGATCATTCATTATTGTAGAGCTGCCAAGCGATCATTTATTATTGTAGAGCTGCCAAGCGATCATTTATTATTTTAGAGCTGCCAAGCAATCATTCAGCAGCCAAGCGATCATTCAGCAGCCAAGCGATCATCCAGCAGCCAAGCGATCATCCAGCTGCCAAGCGATCATTCAGCTGCCAAGCGATCATCCAGCTGCCAAGCGATCATTCAGCTTCTTGACAAGTGACGTCCTCCTAGCAGATGTGTGATCAATTTGTCCTGCCGTCACCGAAGTATTATTATAATAGTTTCATATCATTGCATGTTCTGATATTAAAAAAAATATAGGATTTTTCGGTTTCTCCGCTGAATATCATTCTATAAGTAACCCTTCATACGATTCTCCGTTAATTCTATTTAGAAAATATAACCAATTTTGTTTTATTAGAACTAAATTATATCCGTGACGCTCTCCTCCCATCGAGAAAGTAAAAATAACATAATTTAATTACAATTGTACATAAACCTACAAGAGATCCTCGTATCTCTTCCCCTCTCCCCAAGCCGATGAGGCCGTAGAGGCAGGGAAGATCCCCAGTCAAGGCAAGCTAAATTTGGGTGTGGCCTCTGCAAGGCCTCAGTAGGGGAGGCCTGCTATTGTTGTGTCCCTATGCCGGTAACGTGAACAGGGGAAACTGTACCGGTAACGTGAACAGGGGAAACTGTACCGGTAACGTGAACAGGGGGCAACTGTACCGGTAACGTGTACAGCTAATAACTGCTGTACAGTACAGTTGATACCTACTGTACACTTACAGCAAATGATTACTATAATACCAATAACTTCTGTACTGTATAGTACAGCCAATACCTGCTCTAACGTGCAGTTAATGATGTATAAGGTTACTGAACACTTGCACTGTACACGGTCACCGAGCCCTTGTACTGTACACGGTCACTGAACACTTGTACTGTACACGGTCACTGAACACTTGTACTGTACACGGTAACTGAACACTTGTACTGTACACGGTCACTGAACACTTGTACTGTACACGGTCACTGAACACTTGTACTGTACACAGTCACTGAACACTTGTACTGTACACGGTCACTGAACACTTGTACTGTACACGGTCACTGAACACTTGTACTGTAATTGTTAACCCGTGCCCTCAGTTCGAGAGAATAGAAATAATTCAAGTTCGGAAATGTCATGAAAAAAAAACTTGATTAGGTTCATGTTTCGAAATTTATTTGTTTCTGTGTCTACTGTAAAGTACTTCATTTGCATTCAAACTTAAATATCAATTATGGGGTGTGAAAAGGGGAAGTGCCGATAATGAATGAATGATTGCATACATAAACGTACATTGAACATATCTCATAAAACCATCAATCACAACTTTTCAGAGTATTGCAACATCTCTTTATATAAGTATAAAGAATTATGTGCTAAAACTATGAAAAAACCTCATTAAGACAAGATTGCGATGAAAAAATTATCGCAATAGATTTAGATTTCAGATAATTTAGATAAAATTATCTAAAAAGGTTACAAGGACAAGAGAGTACCTTTCTTGGAATGGAAAAAAGAGTGTGTTTTTTATATAAAATTGAACGATAAAAACGAAAGTTTCTCATATTTTATTACGTGGAGAAACGAGTACCCATTTTCGAATACGATTACGTACAGAAGCGATGCCCCTCTCCGGATGCGATAACATGCTGAAACAGGCACTCGAAAAGGATTCATTCATTTTCAGAGTAAAGGCCGACTAATCAACGTATTAACCTAGAATTCAAAGTGAAATTAGAGAATATTTTGTGCCTAATTAGCAAGTAAATAATGACTTACGAAACGCTGCAATATACCGAATGCGAAAATTAATTTAAAATCCCAATTTTAAAAATTCAACTTGTCGCCTTGAAAGCAACAAGATAGCAGGGTTCCTGTTCAATGTACGACTAACACTCGACTATGTAGCACTTTCGTATCCAATCCCGAAGTGTACTTGGACTCAATGACCAGCTAGGGAGAAATTACGTTGCTTGTCTTCAGAGAACTCGACTGTCTTTACTGCAGTCCTCTCCTCAACTGACGCTAAGCTGGAGACTCCGGCATAAGTCGGTTTTTCTCAGACTAAATTAGGAAGCATGTCCAACGTCACTAGACCCCCACTCTATTCCCCATGCCACTTCCCCACACAACATGTTATTGCTCAACGCCCTTACCACAGCCACATGCTGAATTATTACTAGAATTATCACCATATACTAGAATTATTATTAGCTATCGACAACCATCCGCTTCCGGTGAGTAATCGTAATGTCGAAATTTTTGTTTCGAGAAACTCGCTAACATAAACGACCCGAGTATCATAGATCAGATGAATTTGGAGAATACACATTTTTAATATAAATTTTTACGGTGGGTACACTTATTGAATATCCTCATTTTACGCGTTGAAAGATAATGAAATATCCTTCCGGAGCATGACTTTAATACGTATCCTCTGAAAAATACCGCCTATATAGGACTCAATACGCAAGTGGCAGGAACAGGATGCCGTTTCCTATAATAAACTTATTCAAATGAACACGATGTAGACGTGACCGCTGACAATGGAAATTGGTACAGAAACATCACTGTACGAATGCAATTTTGCCTCTGGCATTACTCCGGCGAAATTAGGAAGTTTTTCATATTAAAAATGAAAATCTTTAAAATTTGATTCGGCCTAAACACTCACGTTACTCGTGAACAATATAATAAAAAATAATATAATATAATTCGGCCTAAACACTCACGTTACTCTTGAACATTATAATAAAAAATCACAAATGCGCCATCACTATGTAACTTATTTAAAAGTAGAAATCATCTCTTTCATCAGTCGATCAAATTAATATATATTAACTAATATATATTATATTATATAATATAATATATATTATAATATATATTATATTATATATTATATATTAATATATATAATTAATTAATAAGTGTTCATCTTACCGGTGTTAATCACAGCGCCAGATTTACAATCAAACCGGCGGTTTAAAAATTACGTGGTAAATATTAAAACTAATTAGAGCTAATTACATGTAAGACTAGGCTATGAATATTTCCAGCCGTAATGACGCTTATATCAGGCCTAATGAAACGCACTTAGTTACGTTGTTATTCATGGAAGCTGAGTCCTGTAAGAGCACTCAGAATACGAAGTGTGTTCATGGGTGTCTTTTTCTATTATTCTCACCACATAACTACTTATATCCTGAATTCAATAATGACAGTTTATGGATTCTATATTGAACCTTTTAAGAATCTCCGATCAGTATATTTTAATTCTTACACGCACAGTTGATTTGTTCTAACTTGCTTGTTGGGATGCGAGGTCTAGTTGAGTTACTCCTAACGTGACGTTTTCAGAAAATATCATCACGAGAACGTATCCTTCAATTTTATGAATTAAATGAAAACATTTCTAAGTAAAATTCAAAGGTAATATTTTTTCCTAATTTGTTTTATAAATATTGATTGATTTTATTACACAGTCTTCCCAACAAGATGAGAATTTCGAATTCAATATTTCTCACGTGTCACAACTACTACGAGCCTGGCGTTAGGTTGATAATTTTTTCAAGCCAATTAATAAAAAATAAATAATAATAATTTTTTCAAGCCAAATGAACTTAAATAAAATGAGTATATTATAACATTCTATCGACAATCAAACAATTGAAGTAAAAAAATATTACGAAAATATTTACGTAATATTTTAGTACTTGCATTTTACGGTCCATACTGTTAGGCGAGCCATTCCCCTATTACGCGGTTTTTTGGAAAATATTCGTCCTTGGTGATATTTCAAAATAAACTACCAGTGAATGATTATATAGTACACTGTACCTTCAGATTCTGAGAAGTAGTTCA